AAGCATGTCCCCCACCGCGACTTCGTCTACCGTCGGCGAAGTTGGTGGTGCATGGAAGGAAAGATACTGGTGTAAGAGGGCGCATAGGGCTGCGCTTTGCGGCCCCGGAAGGTTGCCCGTCGTAGGGAGAGGAATCCAAGCGAAGTCCTCGGGCGTGAGCGGGTCCAAAGCCTCCTCATTGAACACGCTTGCCGAATCCCTTGATGAAGACGAACTAGCGAAAGAACCTTCGGACGGTGAGAAAGCCGCACATGTATCTTGTCCTTGAGAAGCATCCAGTGAAGGAATGAGCCGGGCAGCGAAGTCTTCGAACGAACGTGGAAGACTCCCGACATCCGCATATGCCTCGGAAGAAAGGGCGTTCGTGCGCACAACCGCTTCCGATGGCGTCGAGGGAGGTGTCGAGTCACCCTCAGCGGCGCCTACTTTCCCTGACGGGGTTTCCCCTTGGTGGGGCAATGTGCAACATCGTGGATGGTGTTGTTGCACCAAAGGCAGTAACGGTACTTGAGTCTCGTGCGATAAGAATTCGCCGAGAGTCCGTATTGTGCCCAAGGTTCGTCGGCGGCTGATCCGGTGCTCGGTGTAGAGGTGGACTGAGTCTTCGTCTTGTCGCGGCCGTGATTGTTGCGCGGCCGGCCACCATCCCGGGCAGTTGCCAACACTTCACCCTCGTTTGGTGTTGCAGCCTCGGTAGAAGTAATGCAAGCCACCTTTGGCTTGGGCTGGGTGCCGCTCGTCGTCGCGGAAGATCGACCGGCGTTGTGGGCTTCGATATTCGTGAGAATGATCCGTCACGCTGTGCTGAAAAGCTTGTCAGATGTGTCGAGTGTCTCTGCAATCTGCGTCAGCGCGTTTTGCAGAGCTGGACACGAGCGCATGATAAACAAGTGCTTGATGGCGCGGAATGCGAGCGACAGGTCAGGTGTGGAGGCAAGTCTTTGGAACTCGGTAATCCAGTCCTGACTGAGCACCGTGTTCTGATGGAGCTTGTTGAGGTTGTCCATCGCTTGCAGGTCGGGCGGCTCCACTTGGAATCGCTTGCGCCAGGCGTCGGTCAACTCCTGCCAAGTGAGCTTGGTGTGCAGTTCCGACACTACTACGCCGTGGCTGGTCAAGATGTTGTCCAGCCATGCTTGACACGCACCACCAGATCGGTGGTACAAGCATGGATGTCGATCGTTGTTCGGGACATGGTGCATGTCGAGCCTGAGAGTAAACTGGCGCCACCACGGGATCGGTTCCATCTTGAACTGATCGCAGAAGACGGGAATGTCATCCAGCTTGGGTGGGCGCCGGGAGGATGCGGCAGCGGGCGTCACGGTGGCAGCAGCCTGGACCTGCGTCTCCAACTGCAAGTTCGTTGCTTGCTGCGACGTCCGGAAGTCCTGATGCACACGCTTGATGTTGCTGACGTCATCCTCCAAAACTTGCACACGGGTGGTAAGGGTGGAAGGCCCTGTGGCTGCTACAGCAGCTGGCTGTTTCTCCAACGCCTGCAGCCGTGCGAGCATCTGGTCCACTGTCTGTTGCAGGTGAAGGATTTCCTCCTGCTGCAGAGCGCAGGTGGCCACGAGGTCGTGGGAGACCTGCGCAAGGGCTGACGGCCCTTTCTCAGTCTCCGGGGCCCCATCTGCAGATGTCACTTCCACCCAATGTGCGGCCTCATCGCCGATCACGGTCTCCCGCGTGAACAGTCGTTCCCGCTGGCGTGACCGGTGTTCGGCTGCCGCCTGCAGGTCTGCCTCTTCTTGACGAAGTCGGTCCTGTTCCTCCTTCTGTCGCTTGGCCTCCTCCTCTTGTTCGAGCCGATTACGTTCCTTGGCCGCGGCGGCGGCCCTATCGTTGGCCTCCTGAATGAATGCC